TCTTCCTTTTGAATGTCTTCTCTCTTAGCTTTATGATGATTTAAACATTTTCCTTATTACTTATGTAACACTGCTTTATTTCTTTTCTGTTTTGTTACATTATGTGTTTCTTTCTTTATTCCTATTTGTGTTTTAAATATCATTTAATAGAATTCATTAGTTCTATTGATAGCATGGATGTTTACAAAATGTTCCAAAAATATTAATTCATCTTCATAAAACTCTTCTTGAATCTGGATTGCCAGATGGTCATCGGTATTTGAGTAGAAATTAAGACCATATGTTAACAGGCATTATAACTTGTCCGGATTTTCAAAATGTAACTAAGAACAATACTTCTTGTTGTTGTGTAATGATATAGTGCTTTAGAGAGTGTTTCAACTTGCCATATAGATTTTTAAAATATTCTTCCTCCAGGGGTTCAAGAAAAAGTCAGAAACCCAACTATTCTCAGTAACATTACAAATACCAAGATGCAAAATACATTTTCACCCTTGTAATAAACTTGCTTATATTATTATATAGGAAGTCTGGAATTTCTGAGTGATTGGTAATCTATGATCTTATTTTCCTAAGCATTGGACTTAGGAGTGAACAAGTATATTAAAAAATTATATAGGGGAGGTAAAAAGTTTGATACTTGGCTTTTATAAAACCCTTTTTGTTTTAGTTTGGGGAGGGGAGTTTTTTTTTTACATCGGGTTACAAAATAGGCTTTTGAGTTAAACAATTTAAAAATGCTAATATACCAGAATTTAGTTAGCAGAATGAGTCTTTGATAACCACTTTCAGTATCAATTGATGGGTGATACTGAAAAACATTTCTCGTGGTTTTTAAAAAAAATCATTAATATTGGTAATAAATAACTTTTGAGCAAGTTAAATCATTTAAAGCAACATCAATGACATGCCAAAGAATGTTTAGTAGGCTTCCAAATAAATAATTTACCAATATCTGAGCAATAACAAGATCAATGAATACATTCTTTATTTTTCTAAGGTAAATTGTTTCTGGTTCCAACCCATGTCGATATATGGTTCATTTTGTTGTTTCTTTCAAAGTTAGAAAAATTATTTCATAGCATAACTCTGAAACATAATGACTTTGAAGCATATATTAATGTGGTCTTATGGTAGGCCAAATAATGCCCTCCACTATTCAGAGATGTTTACTTCCTAATCACCAGAACCTGCAACTATGTTACCTACACAGCAAAAGAGATTTTGCAGAATAAGTAAGGATCTTGAGATAGGGAGATTATACTGGATTATCCAGGTGGGCTCAATGATATACTTGCAAAGGTCCCTATAAAAGGGAGGCAGGAAGGTCATGGTAAGAGAGGAAAAATATGAAGACAGAAGCAGTAAAGTTAGACTCTAAGAAAACACAATGTGATGACTGAAACAGCTAGAGAGGAGAAAACTTTGAAGATGTCACACTGCTGGCTTTGAGGATGGAGGAAGGATCCAGGCAGGAGCCAAGAAATGTAGTAGTCTTTATAGAAGCTAGAAGAAAGGCAAGGAAACATTTTACCCTAGAACCTCTGGAGGGAGCACAGCCCTGCTGACTTGACTTTAGCTCAGTGAGGCTGATTTTGGGCTTCTGACCTCCAGAAGATGATAAACTTATGCTGTTTAAAACCATTAAATTTGTGGTGATATGTTACAATTGCAAGAGGAAACTAATATAGACTCTGAGGTTTAGAAATTGAGTAATAACCCAAAATAACCATAGAAATTATCTAGCCCAACTTCTTACCCATGAATTTCATAGTAACACAATCCAAGTATTGAGTGTCATTGGACCTAAAGTTTCACAATCTGTAACAAAATTGTAAAACTCATGTGTCCTAACCTTGCAGTCTGATATACTTCCTTGTATATTGTGTTATGTAAAATCCCATTTGTGTTTTAGCAATTTATATTCTATGTAAATTTTCCCTGATGTTTTTCTAAGAAGATTAGTAATTCTGAAATAGAGCAATACATATTGACCCAATTTTTATCCATAGGTTCTAATGGCAGTATAGAGACAGGAATTAACATTCCTACTTAAGGTCTTTCAAGGTGAAGATCATCATCTTGTCTGAGAACATTAGAATTTCGCTTGGGTATGAGAAGTGGAAAAATAATGTATTATCATAGACCTCTTAAATTAGAGATACTCTATTAACCATTTCTAGGACTAGACTTTAGTCATCTTTATTTATAGAGATCCGTGAAGATCCATGGATAAGCCTGGATTGTCAGAGGTTGGAATTATTGCTGAAGTTTGGTGCTTCTTTCCTTAAGTTTTTTTTTTTTTTAGATGGAGTTTCATTCTTGTTTCCCAGGCTGGAGTGCAATGGCATGATCTTGGCTCACTGCAACCTCTGCCTCCTGGGTTCAAGAGATTCTCCTGCCTTAGCTTGCTGAGTAGATGGGATTACAGGCATGCCCCACCATGCCTGGCTAATTTTGTATTTTTAGTAGAGACAGGTTTCTCCATGTTGGTCAGGCTGGTCTCCAACTTCTGACCTCAGGTGATCCGCCCGCCTTGGCCTTCCAAAGTGCTAGGATTACAGGCAGAAGCCACTGCACCCGGCCTCTTTCCTGAAGTTCTTGACTTCAGGAAGCATGAAGAGCCATGAGGAAACTTCTCATGGAGGAAGGCCTTATTCTACTCTACAGAGAACTTTTTCAGCAGTTTCACATTCCCTGGGTTTCTATCTTCTGCAGCCTATTCACTGTAGATTACTTAGTGTCTTATTATTATCTTAAGTTTATCATAGCATCTTTTCCTTTGCTTGACTGTGCTGGGTTCTTTGTATTTCCACATAAATATTAGAATCCACTTGTTAGTTTCTACAAAGTCTACCTGGATTTTTATTGGCATTGAATTAGATACATAGATCCCACTGGGGAAAAGTGACATTAGAAAATACTGAGTATTACAATCTCTGACCATAGTATACCTCTCTATTTATTTCGGACTTTTAAATTTTCACTCAGAAAATTTTGTTTTCAGTGCATATTTCAAATTTCCAGTTATTTGTGGCTGGTAAAAAATTGTACACTTACCTTTGTATATTGACTTTGTACACTGCAACCTTACTAAATTCACTTTTTTGAAGGCATAGTTTAAATTCACTACCTTCCTGCTATTTCTTTTGTCATATTTGAAAATTTTATTCTTATTAGTCTATGAAAACTACTTTTCTAGGGTGATCTTTTAGTAGCCAACTTCTGTGATCCTTTTTTCCAATATTCCTTTCCTACTTCTCTATAATATATGGATAACTTGTTCCTTCATAGAAAACACACAGACACACACACACGCGCATGTGCATGCATACAGAAAGCTTTTTCTCAGTTGCCATGACAGTATGCTAACATGGATCTCTAACACTGGCTATTCATTTCCAGAGTGCTTCTGTAGTTCTTTTGAATTTCCTGTCTTTTATATTGGAAGTGTTGTTCCATGTTCTTTCCAAAGTTGTTTTCTCTTCTTGCTCCACATCCTTCAATTTGGTAAATTTTTTTTTCTACTCCTTTGGCTTCAAATATAAGCTACTTCAGGGAAAATCCAAGTTCCTATCTTAGCACTGACATTTCTTTATAAATACACTTCATATTTCCAAATGTGTAGGAAAGGTCTATTGCAACTTAACAATCAGAGCAGTACTTGATTGCTTTAACTGGCATGAATAAACATTTTTAGTTTACTTAAATTCTCTGACTATTCTCCCAGGCTCTCAGCCTCTAAGTCTGCATCCTCCTTTCAAATTCGTAGGACTTCACTCTTGTTTATTTCTACATGTTTCTCTTTATAATACTTCCTTTCATTTGGATTGCCATTGTCCTAATTCAGCACCTCATTAATATTTTAAATTATGTATCATACACATTTTAAGAATTTTAAAAATCTTTAGAGAAAATTTATTAGCATCATAACTTTTAATTTTGTGTTTTTTTGCCATTTTTCCAGAGTATATAAGAAATATAGTTTTATTCCATTTTTACATGTTTTCATATCATTACATAACTTTCATGATTATAATTTTGATAGCTACATAACAACCCACCAAATTTTTTATTATAATTTTTTTCAGGCATCTAGGATGGTTTTAATATTTTTTTATTACAAATAACACGACAGTGGCTCTTTTTGTATGAACGGTATTTTAAATTTTATATTTTCAGTAAAATATATATGAAAAGCTTCATGTGACTTTTAAAATATATTATCAAATTTCTTTCCAAAAGTATTATTTAATGATTTATTCACTGATTATATACAAATGTTCCTTATATTTTAACTTCAGAATTATTGTTTAAATTTTTGGCTAATTTTAAATGTGTGAAATGGTACGATGTTCTGTATATGTCTTTGCTTAATAATTGACAAGGTTGAGCTTTTTTTTTTCCCCAGTATAATGTTGGATAGTTGAACTTTTTTTTCTGATCTTGTTACTTTTTCCTAAATTACTTTCAATAGCCTGCCTGGCCTTCCTCTTCCATCACATTTTATCTCTCCATCAGAGTAATAGTTACAAAATGTATGTAATCATCCCATTGCAAAAATGAAACAGAGAAGTTTTAATACCTGTTAACTAGTAAGGGCAAATGCTTCAGTTGGCATCTCTGACTTTCCATAGTCAAGGTTTAACTGGCCTACTAGCCTTTTCTTACACCATCTTCCAAGTAATCTCAGTGTTAGCCATATGTCACACTCTTATTCCTGAGGCCCCTTATTTTTCTCTTCCATGAATTAGTCACTCTCATCTCTTCCTCTGAAGGCCCTCTGTTCAAACCCTACTAATTAGGAAACCATCAAATACTACGTTCTCCCTGAAACTTACATGATCATTCCATTAGAATTAATCTCTTTTGACTGTATTTTCTTTTTTTTTTTGAGACAGAGTCTTACTCTGTCACCCAGGTTGGAGTGCCATGGCATGATCTCTGCTCACTGCAACCTCTTCCACCTGGGTTCAAGCAATTCTTCTGCCTCAGCCTCCTGAGTAGCTGGGATTAGAGGCACTTGCCACCGTACCCTGCCAATTTTTGTATTTTTAGTAGAGGCAGGGTTTCATCATGTTGGCCAGGCTGGTCTTGAACTTCTGATCTTGTGATCCACCCACCTTGGCCTCCCAAAGTGCTGGGATTATAAGCGTGAGCCACCACGCCCGGTCTTGACTGTATTTTCATTATGCCTTATTAAAACCCAAGTTTTAGAGCTTATTTTCCTTTTAAATGACTTTTGATATCTAAATCTGAATTTTCTATTTTAACTTCATTGAAGTAGGGGGCTGTCCTTAAACAATCTTTGATTCTTTATAGTGCCCAATACAGTGTATAAGACATAATAAAATTTAGTAAATATTTGTTGAATTGTTGACTTGAATAAACTTAGAGCTATTGTGAAAGTTAGAGATGGGATAAATTGTTAGACCATGTAAGTGAACAGAAATGAGCCCTACATAGCCTTACTTACAAATGAGGTATGTTACAATATCCTGCTGCCATCCATTCATGAGCGAAGATAACAAAAGCTTAGAAGGGACATATTATTAAGAATGGTTATGAATATAAAGGAGCTCTTGTGCTCTTAATAATACAATTAAGCATGAGGCTGTATATTTGAGTTCTTGTCAACCCTTTGCTTCCCCTCCCACGTAACACTTCTTTACTTATATGCTTCATTTGTTAGGATGATATTTTAAAGACTGGCTTAGTTTGAGGTGGCTCAGCCATTTGATTTCATTAAGCCATGATTATAAAAATACTATAATTCTGTCCATTCATTGACTTTGACAACGTGTTTTTTATTGTAAGGTGATTTGGGACTGAGCTGCAAGAGAAGGTGACCCTGGTAGAATCTAAACTACTGTGCTTCTTGACACAGTGAGGGAAAGCAGTGATATTGGTATTAACACAATTATGTTGTTAAATGCATCACAGGTGAGGTATTTAAAGCAAATTAAACAAGTGACGTTCTTATTTCATAAACCACATTTAATCTCATGCTTGGCTGTTTTTATGATAGAGTTACAGCAATGAAGAAAATTAGGCAAGAATGGAAGAGAAACATTTTTTCGTAAACGGATGCTTAGAATTTGAACTTACAGTGAGTAAAGAGCATCAAAAGTCAAATAGGACAAACAGGGAGATGGTATTCATGGAGACATAGGATGAACTGAGGTTATTTTAAGACTATTTATGTTGAGGGAATGACATTACATAGGGAGACCTCAAGACGAGTCCTGACTTTGAGCCCCAGCTATATCAATGACTCATACTGTGTAACCTGGAACAAATTACTCAACCTCTTTGTACTCCAAATTTCTTATTTATAAAGTTGAAATAATTATATATACTATAAAGTTCTTACTAGTATCAATTAGAAAAGAGGCAAGAGGCCAGGCACGGTGGCTCAAGCCTGTAATCCCAGCACTCTGGGAGGCAGAGGCAGGCAGATCACCTGAAGTCGGGAGTTTGTGAACAACCCTGTCTCTACTAAAAATACAAAATTAGCTGGGTGTGGTGTGCCTGTAATCCCAGCTACTTGGGAGGCTGAGGCAGGAGAATCTCTTGAACTCAGGAGGTGGAGGTTGCGGTTGAGCCGGGATTGCACCATTGCACTTCAGCAGGGTCAACAAGAGCAAAACTCCATCTCAAAAAAAAAAATAAGAGGCAAGAATATTTTTTCAGTGTCAAGTAACCCATATTTATGAGATAGTATTGATATCATGTTGTAAAAACCTTATCCTACCATATTTGAACTTGATTCATTAATTAACTGTAAAATACTTAGTAAGTGCAGGCACTGTGTTCATTAGATATATAATATGAATGGAACCGATCTAATTCCTTCTGTCAGGATACTTATGATCTAATAAGGGTCACTAGTTAAACTAATACTGAAAGTAAGAGTTTGTCTTACTAGCTTCTGTTTAAAGTTGCCAGATTAGCTAGTGTTTTCCATTCCATCTGCAGAACACTTTGACTGGCATGTCTTGTACACTGTATGCCTAGGTAGTAATAATATCCAATATTTATACGTAGCACTTAACATCTTCCATTTACTGTTTTAAGTGCTTTGTTCAAATTAACTCCTTTAATCTTCACAACAAAACTTTATTATCATTCTCATATTGCCTATGAGGAAACTGAGGCACAGAAAGGTTAAGTGACTTGTCCACGGTTAAAAAGGCTAGTAGGTAATGGATCAGGATTCACACCCAGGCTGTCTGGCTCCAGAGCCCGTAAACTTAGTCATCAGATAACAGCACTAGTAGGTTTGTCTATTACTGCTCTCACAGCTGAGTTGAAACCTTATTGAAGGTCAGCTTTATTTGTTCCCAAACATGTTTATGACAGTTGTATTAGTTTTTGTTATATAATTTAATTAAATATCATGTAACATACTAGAAATGCAAAATACAAATGTGATTTTGTACATTTATAACCAATTTGTGTATGTTGATAAGACTTAAGAGTTGCCTTTTAAAAAATATATGAGAAAATCAGGAATCAGGAATACAATCAGAAATGGGTGAAAACTAAAAGTACCTCATAAAACGTAGATGTTTACTGTAGTTGGCCTCAAATGCCTTTATGATCTTATTTTACATAAAAATAAATGAAAGTGGGAAGGACAGAAAAGTACTTATTTACAGTGAGTGAACCATTATGTAAATACAAATCCTTGGCCTTACCATAAACTCTTGGAACATGTATTAATTTTAAGTTAAAATATATAATATATATGTATACACACAGACACAGGCCAGGCACGGTGGCTCACGCCTTTAATCCCAGCACTTTGGGAGGCAGAGGTGGGCAGATCACTTCAGATTAGTAGTTTGAGACCAGCCTTGTCAATATGGTGAAACCCTATCTCAACTAAAGAAATACAAAAATTAGCTGGGCATGGTGACACGCACCTGTATTCCCAGCTACTTGGGAAGCTGAGGCAGGAGATTCACTCTAACCCTAGAGGCAGAGGTTGCAGTGAGCTGAGATCATGCCACTACACTCCAGCCTGGGTGACAGAGTGAGACTCCATCTCAAAATAAAATATAAATAAATAAACACACACACACACACACACATACATATAGATGATTTTGTGATATCAAATTTTGTCAAGTTTTTTGATTAACCTGTTAACTGCCCTGTAAGAAAGAAATATTTTCAAATATCTCCACATCCAAACCTTAAAACTATGGCTGGTATTGTAGTTAGAGCCAGATGAGTTTCTATTACTGCAAGAAATCACAGTATATTTCTTAAAGTGCAAACCATGGATTTCTTAAAGAACAAACCACAAAGAATGTATTGTGGATCCCAGTGTGGTACACAAAAGACAGATTGTGGATGCCAGCATGGTACATGGAGGACTAATCATGGCTCCCAAGGTAGATTTCTTTTTGTTCCACATGATCAACTCAGTTCTTCTTTCCAGGGCAACAGGTAAAAAGAATCCTAGATTGTAATCAGAAACAGTCTTTCTCTATGGCACTATATTCTTGGCAAATAACCTAACCCCTTTCAGCCTAGTTTATTTGAAGTTGTCAATTTTAGTAATGTTTTTAGATCTGTCATAGTCAGTCTTCAATGAATATTAGTTAAATGGACTTGAAAACACTTTGGAAATCACAAAATATTAAATCCCATATTTTCTTACTGTTAATATATTTTTCATTCCGTTTTTATTACATGTATTTTATTATACAATGATTAGCTATAAATCTGTGAGCTCATGAGATTCCACATCTTGGCTCATTAATTTTTGTATAGACACCTGCACCTAGACAAGTGTCTAGGTCCTTTTTGTATATAGAAGATATTCAGTAGATACAGTTTATGTGAACTAATTAGAAATTCCCTATTTTGAACCAGACATTTTGATGATAAAATATATTTTGATGGGATATAAAATATTCATATAGTTCCAGTTTTAGATGTTGTTATAGAGGCTTTTTTCTTCCTACTTTCTCAAAGCCTACTAAAAATATCAAAGAAGTAAAAAAGAGGGAAAATATTGTCATCTCCAAGAAAGCAAGGAAGCTTTACAACTACAGTGATACAAATTATGAAGTCCATAGACTAAATATTGAAATAGATAACGAAACCCACTGTAAAATGTTGACTCAGACATAGGTGCCTTTTCCCCCAAAATATCTGATGGTCTTTGATTAAAGAGAGCTTGGTTTCTGGGTGATATGAGAATGACCATGTAGATATCCTGCCTGACACTCTAGAATGGTAGGGGAGGGAAGCCTTAGAGGGACTTTCTTCCAACAACCTCATTCTATTCTCTACCGCTTGGTCTTTTCGCCCAGGCAGTCTGTCAAAGAAGGTGGAGGAAGTAGGTGGTACCCTGCTGTAGGAAAACTTGCTGTGATCCATGCAGAGTCCTTAAATAAAAAATTTGAGGGAAGAACTCCTTTCAATGTTAGGGAAACAAAATATTTGAAAAGATGTTTGAGTCAGTAAGCTGAAATAGTGGTTGCCAACTTCCTTAGTACATTTTCAGGTATGCACTTCCTCTTCCACTCCCCATTGTACCACTTGGTCAGTTGCTGTCTCATTCAAAGAGAAATAGCAATCAGAAAGGGACCAGTGGATAAGTTCATGCATAAAACTACCATTTTCTTTTTCACACATGGAGAGGAAAACAAGCAAATAAATGACAACAAGCATATATCACAACAAATACACATTCTAAAAAGCAGAGTTCAGAAAGGAGACAGATGAATTCAGAGAAGAGAGTATACAGGAATAAAAGCAGATGAAAACAGAACAAGAGTTCAGTAAAAAATGAAAATGGAAATTTAAAAATGACAGAAATAAAATAGACACTGGAAGCAACACAAATGCAATAAACTTGATTGAAAACGAAGTCAGAAGCATAGATACTAGGTTTGAAAACATCTGACAAAATGAAATGCGTATGAACAGCATGAAGTTTTTATAATGAATAAAGATATGGAAGACGGAAAAGAGAGACAACATGTATATAATTGGTGATCGTGAGAAAAGGGAACCAAAGAAAAGAATCAATAAAAAATACAAAAGTAAAAAGAAGAAAATTGTTACAAAGATTTGAATCTTCAAATTGAAGTTTGTACTCTGTTCTAGGACAATTTTAGATAGAACAATGAATACTAAGAGATATTTTAAACTATTTCCTGAACTCCAAGGTTAAATAAAGGTTCAACCAGATGAACATTTATGGAAAAGATACCTGCTACATGTAAGGGGAATAAAGGTTGGCTTTCAATTTCCACATAATATGAGAAGTCAGAGAAGCAATTTCTACACAGTTCTAAAGGAAGGGAAATATGATTCAAGTTTTATTTTTAGTCAAATATAATATCAACAGAAAGATATTCTGAAGCAAAAACTAGACAATATAGAACCCTGGAGCTCTCATTTAAACACAACATGTGTGCACATACATGATGAGTCAACAGTAGCTCAAGAATGGAGGAACTTAGTTTAAGATGGTTAGCATCAAATCTGTCTAATTATGGATAAAAAGTAACAGCTTTAGAAATTATAATTACAGAATAGCATATAAATGATACATTATAAACTGATAATGTAAGCATATTAATGAAAATGATTAATATGTGAAAAAGTACTATTGGAAGAATTATCAGTTAATTTTCTTAACTACATAAGCATGAGGTTAATAGCTACTACTGAATGTTGAAATACACAGAGGATTCCAACCTCCTAAATTTTTTCCTTTTTCACCTCAACTTTGGCGTGCCCTTATAGAAAAGAAAACATGCTTTGGGTTTAAGAAACATTTACGGGCCGGGCGCGGTGGCTCACGCCTGTAATCCCAGCACTTTGGGAGGCCGAGGCGGGTGGATCATGAGGTCAAGAGATCGAGACCATCTTGATCAACATGGTGAAACTCCGTCTCGACTAAATATACAAAAACTTAGCTAGGCATGGTGGTGCGTGCCTGTAATCCCAGCTACTCAGGAGGCTGAGGCAGGAGAATTGCCTGAACCCAGTAGGCGGAGGTTGCGGTGAGCCAAGATCGTGCCATTGCACTCCAGCCTGGGTAACAAGAGCGAAACTCCGTCTCAAAAAAAGAAAAAGAGAAACATTCACCTGAATTTCAGCTTTTAGTTCAAAATTTCTTTAGTCAAATTAAAGAAAAAGAAAATATAACATTTAAATATTAAACTGTCATATATAATTTGATTCAATTTTTTTAAAATTAAGGCTTATGTGGGTATACATCTCTCTGATGTTTTTCTACCTTAGTAGACATTTAGCTATGTCTTGAATGGTGTTTACTCTGTGGTGCAGATGGCTGTTGTTTTCTGGTTAATGGAATTTGGATTACTTAAAACTTTCTAAAGCTTCTCTATATTACTTGAAGTTTTTATAAAAAACATACATCATCTCAATGAAACAAGAGTCTTTATTTTAAAAAATTACAGCATTACCACCATCTCTCTTTAGAAATGCTTCCCATTAGCTACTAAATAAAGTGTTTGGCAAATACATTATAAATTTTGGAATTGAAGTGTAAAATAAAAGAGATTATAGGAACAGTATTTTCCCTAATATTTTAATCTAAAACAAATTATATCTTGAATATATTTCAAGAACACATATATTACAAACAGGCACCACTTGGGGTTCCCAGATAAAGGTATTTCTTAATTTACATATCCCATAACACCACAGGTTATACAATTAGGAAGTATATAGTAGTTTATTAAGGCTGTAAATATAGGCCCAGATTCTCTTAACAAAACAGCCTGACATAAATTACAATTTTTGTGTAAACCTATTACCACTGTTGCATTAACTTTTAAAGGGATCTATGTAAGCCTACTGTGGTTATACATTTAAGAAAATGACCTGTACACCTGTGAAGCACTGAAGCGTGCACGGTGAAGAATGATAGGAAAAGAACTTTTTCTTGTGAAATGAGTAGTGCACAGTAGTGATGGACTTCTACAGTGAACCAAAATACAAACTAATTATGTTGATTCTTTGCTTTAAGGGAAAAAAGGAGTATTTTTTACACTCCCCTTTTTGTCTCTATCCTTAACCACCTGTTTTTAGAGACAAATTCTCCAGAGTGTTTACAAACAGCAGTCCTAGGAAAGCCTAATTTAGTGGGATTTTAGACCTTGGGGCTCTGGGGTAACTTTTCATACCCAAAATAGCACCTTGGGAAGGCTAGATATCAGAGATCAATCTACATCCTTGTGAGAGTGAGCCTGTATCCTTTTCATAATCACCAGTAACGGCTTTAAAATCCATGCAAATCAGAAATGCACATTTGGAAAAATATTATATTTATATTATATCAGAGTAACAGCCTCTTTAAAGGAAAATTTTGTTTATACTGAGCTGCTTTACCTGCCTATTACGTTCCTCGAAGTTATTCCTCAGATTTAACTTTATGGTGTTAATACTTTTGTATCAAGAAAAGAAAGTAATCTGTACTCCTAGCTATCAACCAGTATAAATGTGCTTTTAGGAGTATGTATGTAGCACTGTGTTATCTGAGGTCATGGTACAGTTCAGTATTAAGTGTTTTAATGTGACTTTTTGTCCAGCATGTGAATGGACTTTGAAGTGGCACTGCATGTCTGAGAATTCCATCTCTTTAAATTGTCTGCTTTGTTTGTTGGAAATGATAACAGTGATTGTTTAAAGGCATTATATATATATGTATATAATAAACATATATATCTAATAAACATATTTGTGAACAACTGAATTATATCTATTAACAACTGAAATAACTACTCACCGAAGTAAACAGCAAACATTACAGATATACAATTTTAATTTTGAATGGTAGAGAATTTTATTAAACTAAGGGAGGCAACTTAATACAGTCTTAAGGACAGATACAAGATGCAGATGACAGATCTAAATTTGAGTCAGGTCCTCACACCTATTAGCATTTTTGACTTTGGTCTTTTCACCTAACTTCTCTGAGCCTTAATTTCCCCATGTAGAAAATGAAATATGATGTCTTTCCTATGTCATTTAGGATTGCTGATATAATAATATGCATAACAGTATTGCTTAAGAAATATTACTTAGTGGCCATTGCAGTGCAGAAGAACTGGTAAGACTCCTTACCTGGAAAATATAAGGGAAAAGTATTATTTTTTTAAATCATGAAAAGATAAGATTGAAAATGGCATGTCTTTGCTGCTAATTAATAATTGCTTTATGTTCATGGAGCTGCATCATTTTCCAACCTACAGAACATATTATAGTAAGCTCTAGTTGCATTTTCTGGGATCGCTTTTACTAAATGTTTAACAATGCTCGTGAATCCCAACTGAAAATCTTGATCACTTTACAGAAGTGTATATGCAAAACCAATGTGAGGCTGGAAATATGTCAAAGACGTCATTCTATGTGTCCAAGTTAAGAGGACAACCAGTGAGGGCAGATACACAATGGACAGGATTCTTCAGGGATGCTGGGTATAAACTGTGATAATTTTTGTCTTCCTAGGGTTCCTGAAGACAAGCAAGTAGATTTTATGTTTTCTAAGATGAAAAAGAACAATGATACTTTTTGAAATAAAGCTTTGGAGAAAGTAAAGGCTGTGGAATAATGAAGGTTTTCATTATTGTCAAATGATAAAGGCAAATATGTGTAATATCCTTGAAATTGTGAGCTATAACAATGTATATTATACCGAATACTTTTTAAATGAAAAATCAACCTAAAGGGAAAGGGGGATAGGGAGGACTGACCTGTAGGTGGGAATATAGGAGATCTGGCAGTGACGTGGTGGCATTGCTATTGTCTCTGGGTTTCAGTTCCGTACCCATAAAATAAATGGGTTGGACTGGATGAACCCTTTCAGCTCTGAAATTCCATGACCTTGTGATATTCCTCATACTCTGTGACATAGGAAGTGGATCACACACTGCAGGGTTTTCTCCTTCTGTCAGTTAGTACAGTGCACTGCACAGTGGATAAGAATGTAGGCTTCAGAGTCAGAGAGAGCTGTGTTTGAAATGTATCTACTGAGCTTGTGATTTTTGGCAAGTTACTATAATTTCTTTAAGTTTCTGTTTCCTCATATATTACATCTAAAGGTAGTGCCTGTAGAGTGCTTGAAATGATACAGGAAGTAATGTTTTGTCAAAACTGTGTATGGGTACCCCTGGGGATCCACAGTGGTTTTTAAGGCACGTGTTTAAGAGCCCAGGTTCTGTATCCTGATGTCCGAGACTGAATTCTAGCTCTGCCCCTTGCAACGTGTATGTCCTTGGGCAAATTAACTTCCACAAGCTCTGCTTCCATTTGCTCTTCTGCATGTGTGGTTGATGATAATACCTACCTCCAAGGGTTGTGATGAGGATTAAATTGGTTCATACATATGAAGTGCTTAGGAAAGTACCTGGTACATACAATCACTCTATGTATTTGCTATCGTCACCTTATATCATTGTCGTTATTAAAGTTGCACATAACCTAGGATGAACTTGGTGGATCATCTTTAAGTTTTAATTCTACTAAAAATTTTAGGAAAAAATACTCATTTATATTGTAGCCAATATGTATATGTTATGGAATAGAATGAAAGTTTCCATAAATATTGACAATAAAGTTTTAACTTTAACTCGAAAAATACAATGCAGCACTGTAAAGCACTCTACAGTTAAATTTCTGTGTTTCCATTAGCAATTATGTTTTCTACTTAATTTGTAACCTTTTGAATAATTGTTATTAACAACAGAACAGACTAGCTCTTTAGTGTAAGGAATAAGAGGTTTCACAGGGCAAATAAGGCGGAAACCAATTTTACCACCAAAACATGAAGCTAATTTCACATCATCTTTGTCACTCCCAACCTATTTTATATTGCACAGATTTTATTCTTTTAATGTAATTTTGGACACATGAAGTGCTTTATTGACATATTTGACAAATAATCTTAATTTCAGCTTAATATGAAATTTTATAGATTTGTATTGTAGATTGTCTACTATTTTATAGTTGCCCAAGATTCATGGTAAATGTGTTTTTGGAAAATGTTAATTCAGTTATTAGGTTCAGAAGAAATAAATAATATTAGCCATAAAGGAGTATAATTTGACAAATATTTAATTAATATCTATAAATACATCAAACTCTTCTAAGAACTGGGCATACAAAGATGGGTATGCTCGAATCCTTTCTGTTGAAGGGTTCTCAGCATTTGGAGTATGGCAAACACTCCAAATGTTGGCTGAACTGAAAGCTCTTGCTAACACTTTTCTTTTTGCGTGCCTATACAATAGCACTGGAAAATTCCTAGCAGCTACTGAGATGTGAGCAGAAACTTGCTTAGAGTGATGGTGGTGGGGGTGGTAAGGATGCTTCTGTTTTCCTATTAAAAGAGGAAGGTTGTGGCTATTGCTCCCCGACTCTTCTTTCCTTGAGCACAGATCTAATACCTGGAGGACAGTAGCCATCTGGGGACTGTGAGGTGATAAGCCAAAAATAATTGGAGAGATATTAGGCCTTGCATCATTAAGTCAGCAATCCAACATTAGATGCCACTACTTCCTGACTTCTTATTTTCTAAGATGAGTAATAAACCCTTTTATATTTTAAAACATTGTTGTATTTTCTGTTACTGTATCCAAAGATTATTCTAGCAAATGTGGGAAGGAGGTATATTTGCCTACATACAATTATGAGACATACTAGTTGCTATAACTATAATAACTTTTCTAAAGAACAATATGTACTTATAAATGGTATGTGTAATCTTCTGCTCTAGTCCATGTGCATGTGTGTGTGTGTGTGTGTGTGTGTGCATGTGTGTGTTTTATTTTTTTTGTAATGCCATAGTACTAGTTAGAATATTATAAACAGTTCTCCAAAAGCAAGAGTCACAATCTTGAAGGGTCAAAAGAGCCCTGACTCAAGGGAAGAGATACATAGTAATGGAAGGTCATAGGAACAAATTTGACTCCGTAAAGCCTCCAGGAGAGGTAGAAGTAGAATCTTTATTAGAATGACAGGGTTCTTATTTAGAACTAAGTTTCAGAACCAGAGAATGCCAGAGATGAAGAGAAGTGAAGAAGTAAGAAGAGACAGTAAGTACAAACCATAACATAGAAAATCTCTGATGTCAAAGGATTTGTTTTTAGCCACATACTCCAGATGGAGAGGTGTGGCCTGGGAAAAGGAAATAAGAGATTCGGTGACAGAGGAATGGTGTAAAAAAGTCTAGCAAGAGAAACAAGAGACTGCAAACTCTTCTGTTTTTTTCTCTCAATCTGTGACCATCAAATATGACTAACAATTAGAAAGGTGACTAAAGAGATAATAACACAACAAAGAGCCATATAAAAAACTACAAGAGAAATTTCCCAAAGAAACAATGGAAGATTAGGATAAAAATTACCCATTTATTCAGGGAAATTATACTAGACATAATACAGGCAAACAAACCAACAAACAAAAACCCTGAAAAAATATCTGTGAGAGTCAAAGTAGAGGTTCAGTGAAAAACAGATGAAAGAGATTATGTGTATCTGAAGAAAAATGGGAGAGAAACATGAAAGCTTTCATAGACACAGATATTAGAAGCAATAACAACAAGTAGAATAAACATGACTGAAAACTAAGTTAGGAATATAAAAAAAAAGCTTTGAAAAATTCCCATAAAATTTAATTCAAATGCACAAAAACACGACATTTATTATGGGAAGATGAAAGATGTGGAAAGGAAAAAAGGAGATCCAATATAAATATAATTTTTGTTCTCAAATATTAAAATGGTAGAAGATAAATTCCTGAAATAAAGACTTACCTATGATTTTAATGACATTCTATATCGTGGGAAGGTTAATAAACATTAAAGATAGTGGACAAATTTATGTGTCTATTCAGCATGAATACCAAGTCACATGGAAGAAAAATGAGGTTAGTTTTCCCATGGATTTATTAGATACCAAAATCCTATAGAATTATGTCTAAAAATTCTGAGAACAAGAAAGTATAACCAAAGATTTTATACCCACCCAAGTTATCTTTTAAATGTAAATACAAATGCACAAATATTTTCAAGTGCATAAGAAGTTACATCAAATAGTATAAACCCTCATTAAGGAAAATTAAAACAAGAAAACACTGAAAAACAGTAAGGTAAGCAAAGCCTTAAAAAGATTCTTATGCACTGGGGCCTTCTCTCATTTTGCTTTTTTGAATCCTGAGGCTACCACTTGTGAATATGCCTGAGCTAGCCTACTGGAGGATGAAAGACTACATGGAGTGGGATTGTGCTGTCCTAGCTGAGGCTCTTAAATCCAACAAGCTTGTAAGAGCCAGACAAATGAAAGAGGCTATCCTAGACCATCAGGCCCCTACAAAACTGCCAGATGACCTCAGAGATCTGCCAGGCCAACCCAGATGAGAATTGCCTTGCTAACTCACACAATTATGAACAAATAAATTATTGTTCTTATAAGTTAAAAACTTGAATAACCACCCTGTAAAAACAAAACAAACAAAAAAGCTACAGTACATTTCAGCCTACCAAGAGGTGAATCATGTCAAAGAATTCAGGTATGGAGGGATTCCAACTAAAAAACTGAATATAAAATTTTAATCAATATAAATTCAGAACTAAAATTAAAAACCACAGGCTCTATGGTTATTGAATAAAATAGAAACGATGAATAAACAATGAAAGTAATAATAAAAATCAAATTGATGGAAGATAGGATAAAACATTAATATGTTCATTTCTTCAGCTTTTGTCCCAAGTAATGGTCCCAATTTTTAATGCATAAGTTTTTCCCAAACTCATTAATATTTTGTTACTTAATATGTTTTAGGGGGTTAAGAAACATTTATCTCTAAATGTTAAAAAACAAGAAAAAAGAAACATTTATCTCATTTTTAGTAAATTTATTAATTTCATTTAAAGTTCTTATACTGTGATTATTTCAAGTATAGCTATATTTAATATAGTACCTTTATTTAATATAGTGTGGGTACCTTGAGTTCATTTTAATAAAACTGTTCTTCACTTACTATACATGTTACCTGTTGGCCTTTCTTCCTCTGTAGCTTCCTTTGTATATATTTTTATCAAAATATCTGTAATAATGGCTATTTTGAGGTGAATGTTTTTATATTATATGTACCTTTTGAGTTACTTGACATGTTTTTGAAGACATTTTTTAAAAATACCATTTTATCAATATATTCAGTAGGAATAGAACATTTCTACTATACTTATTTGTAATAAATTGTGGATTTTTAAATGGTAGGAAATGTTGAGTGTTCTTTGAAAGCTGTAACATTTACAGGGAAACACTGGCAAGGGTTTCAGAAAAAAAGCTTTTGCATTATGTTTTCAGGTTTTCTCTTTCACTGGATACCATTTTAAGATTTTAGATTCCAAGTTGGACCTAATTAAAGTTTCAGTGGCAGTTGAACTGCCTAAAGTGTGAAAGTCCTGATTGTCAAATATCTTATTTCACATCTTTTTTAGAAATGAAAAAAATCATGAAAAATGTACATTTAAGGGCTATTTTATGTTAAAAAAAAGTCATATTGAAGCCAATAAGACATTGATCAAGGCAAATTTAAAAATCAAGAAATCATCTTAATGTTAGCTACTTTAATTTCAATATCCAAATAGTGTGAGAGGAAAAAGAGCCAATTTGTTAATTCCCTGGAAATACATGGTGAGTCGCATTCTAATTTCAGTTCAATGTGTTGATGCTAAACGGGAACTGACGCCCAGGAATTTGAAGGTAAAATCTGGTTTAGGAGTCACACAGACTTAGTTGATCTTGAACCTACAGTGAAGAACTAATAAGCAATACATAATTTTTGAGGTTGTAAGCCAGGTGCAGTGGCTTATGCCTATAATCCTAGCACTTTGGGAGGCCAAGGCAGGTGCATCATTTGAGGACAGGAGTTCGAGACCAGCCTGGCCAACGTGTTGAAACCCTGTCTGTACTAAAAATACAAAAAAATTAGCCAGGCATGGTGGTGCATGATTGTAATCCCAGCTACCTAGAAGGCTGAGGTGGAGGGATGACTTGAACCTGGGAGGTGGAGGGTGCAGTGAGCTGAGATTTTGCCACTGTACTCCAGCCTAGGCGACAGAGTGAGACTCCATCTCAAAAAAAAAAAAAAATTAAGACTGTAATTTTGAGGAGATAAAGAGAACAAATAAAAGATATCAAACAGAATTTGAACGTTCAAAGGATGTAAAGATATTTATTTTAAATATTGCACCATTAAAATGTTTACATCCTATAGTGTGCTGATGGCATTATAATCACTCAAGTTTTAAATGAATTTAAACTTTTATTGTCTAATTTGTAAACTTTATAATACATAATTCTGAATCTTCTAAGGTAAATAATTTAGAGTTCTACTTTAGTGGCTAGAAGTTGAAATTATATGAGAATAAAAAATGTCTGGGGGATTTGTCCCAGGAAAAAGCTAAGTTTTTGGAAGTAGAAGTTGAATAAACTACAAAGTAAATGAAGATAAAATTCCTCTTTTCAGCCAACCATGGTGGCTCACGCCTGTAATCCCAGAACTTTCAGAAGCTGAGCAGAGGGATCACCTGAAGTTGGGAGTTCGAGACCAGCTTGACCAACATGGTGAAACCCTGTCTCTACTAAAAATACAAAATTAGCCAGGCATGGTGGCACATGCCTATAATCCCAGCTACTCGGAAGGCCGAGGCAGGAGAATTGCTTGAACTCTGGAGGCAGAAGTTGTGGTGAGCCTAGATGGCACTATTGCACTCCAGCCTGGGCCACAGAAGTGAAACTGTCTCAAAAAAAAAAATTACTCTTTTCAAGATGTGGAATAGTATATAGATAGCACAGAAAGGGAGAGAAAGAGAAAGAGAAGGGGCAGAGTGGGGTAGGAATGATAGCTTCTACCTTTGCAAAGTTTATTACCAAGTTGATAAGACAGATATTTAAAAAGCTTAAGTATACCTCTTTATCACACCATTGAACAGTTAAATGGTGTGATATAGAGTCAAGAGAACAGCTTTGGAATCAGGCAGAAATAAACTTAAATCCCAACTCTGCCACTTCCTGTCTCTGTGACTTTGTGGCTTCCCTTTTATGCAACTCAGTTTCCCTGCATTACACAGGTACAGGACTCCTTACCTTGCAAGATAGTTGCAAAATTGTTTGTAAAGTACCTGGCACTGTACTGTTCAACAGGTGGTAGATAATTACTGTAATAATAGAACAACGAGAGAAGATGCTGAATAATTTAGAAATAAATAACCAATAAAAAATGATGGAGTAAAATAAACAAAAGCATTACTTTTACTTTTGCTTGTTACATTTAGAGATTAATTGCTATTGAGACCGCACTATAACTTTTTTTCTAATTCATCAGATATATCCACCTTTGCCACCTCTTCCCTTAACTTTTCCTTTCTTCAGCAATAACACTTGGAAGTCACTAGGTCTTTAAACTTCCCTTCCATATAAAACCTATGGCTTATGTGATCACTGACACAATGAACAGGTGAAGAAAGAAGTAATTTTGAATTGGAAAATACAGTGAAGGAAATGACCTAGGAACTGAGATAGAGAATGTCTGCTTGGGTGAAGTGATTTAGATAAAGTGTATTTAGATAAAGCATTTTTTCCCTTCATTTATGCCGCTTCCACATTGATTAGGAGGTTGGTAAAGATGTGAAAATTAGTAAGGGGCAGGGTTTTCATTAAAGGTCATCATTTTCTATTGAACAGCACCATTGTCTGGCTTTGGAAATCATTTTCTTTAAATGGAATTAAAAAAAAACAGTAAAATGTCAAGAAACCACTTTTTAATTTATTATCCAGATAAAATATTAGCATTTCTCTCCACTAGAAAAAAATAATCGATAGGAAAAGGAGCTTATAGTAAAAACACCAATACCACACTATATACTATTTCCTGTTGTTAAGATTATCTCTATAAAACTACCTTGAGGCTTTGGCGAGTAAATAGTAACAAATTCACTCTTCCTAATTTTGTCCTTTCCTTTGGGGGTGATACAACCTAACAACAAAATCTGTTCAGAAAATATTGAGTTCTACTAGAGTTATTTCCCTTTTGGCTGGAGGAAGTGCCTGCTTTGTAAGACTGAACATAATTGTATATGTTTAAGCAAAGAATCAGAAACAAGAAACTTGCAGAGTTCCCCAAAACTAGCAAATATTTTATAAACATAAGTTGCAAATAATTGACATGATGTAAGTTTAAAAGGCATTCATCGATGAGTATACTAGTCTTTTGAAAGCAGTATTTTGTTAGACTAAGGATTCCAACTACCATCAGTTATCTTGACTTATTTTAGGATTAGTTCTGTAGTCCTCTATTAAAATGGATCAAGGTTACAGGCAATAATGGTGGTTTCCACTGGAAAAAAATACCACAAATATCTTGTGTTTCAAAATTTCTCTGATCAGCATTTTTGAGGGAAGAAGGACTGTGGGAAGAAAAAGCTGACAGAGATAACGTATCAGACACCATGCCGCCGGGCTGTCCTTACATGTGTCATCATTTTAACAGGGAAGCAAGATACATTTCTCACCTTTTCTCATCCTCATCATTACCAGTTTATTTTTTGATTCACATGAATATCAGTAGGTGATATGTGGCTTTTGTCCATGTTTTGACTTTCCTTAAAGACAGGAAGAAATATTACAAAGAGTCAGACTTTTAAAGCAAAAATCTCTCTCTGAACTGTTTTTGTAGAAATCAAAATTCAGGCCTTCTTCTCAATTCAGTGACCCTCTTAATTAAGTATTGGTCACTACTCAAATACTTAGTTGATACACAGCCATGTCTCCATACCCAGATCTTAGCAGGTGGCTTTTTTTTTTTTTTTTTTAACATCAAAAGGCAGGTAAGTTATTTATGTTAGTGTGGTGAGAAAACTGTTTGAATCAATGACTACAAATATTACCTTCACTCGATATTTGTACTTCTTGCTTCAGAATATAAGTTCTTCGAGTATAGACATTCCAGATCTGATGTAGTACTTACTCATACAATAAGAAACATGTACAAGGTGGCTAGGCATGGTGGCTCACGCCTGTAATCCCAGCACTTTGGGAGGCTGAGGCAGGTGGATTACCTGAGATCAGGAGTTCGAGACCAGCCTGGCCAACGTGGTGAAACCCCGTCTCTACTAAAAATACAAAAATTCGCCAGGCATGGTGGCATGTGTCTGTAATTAATTCCAGCTAATCGGGATGCTGAGGCAGGAGAATCAGTTGAACCTGGGAGGTGGAGGTCACAGTGAGCTGAGATCCCACCATTGCACTGCAGCCTGAGCTACAAAGCAAGGATCCGTCTAAAAAAAAAAAAAAACAATGAAACGTGCGAAGTTCAGTCTCACATTTTATTTTCCTCGGTTTTATGCTGCATTTTGGCTGATGCATTGCAAATGTATGTTAAAATCAACCACCCTCTGTTAGAGGTAACACATGAATCTATTAACAAAATTAACCTCTCAATTTGCATTGATTTCTCCAGTTAACTGGCCAGAATCTTAACTAGTCTCTAGAGGAATAGGACCTGAGCAGTCAAATTCTGTGTGAAGACAGGGACATCCAAATATTTGGCGCTAGTTATAAGATATGTTAATAAGGCTTACTTGACAAAGTAATATGAAGAAGGCTCCATGGTTAAGTAAATTTTGCATTTGCATGAGTTAAATGTATATAAACTATTTCTTTACTTCTGGATTTATCAGAGTCTTCAATATATGAATACAATTGGAGAATCCTAAGGACTGGGAATATAGTATGCAAAGTTTCCTAAAAGTATTGGATCTTGGAATCTCTCCATACTCTGATTTTTTTGAGATATATCCCCTAAAACCAAAGTACTTGGAGCATATTTTGGGAAATATTGTTGTAGGACTCAAAGACTTTGTACAGTATGTGAAGCTCTTTTTATGCCAGGAATGCTTCAAGATTACTCAGTATTAGGATTAAAGTAGAAGACACCAAAGAAAGGAGAGTGGCCAAAATGGTCAGGAAGTCATGGTCATTAATTTTGTTTATCTCCCAATTTTATTAGTCATAGGCATAGGCACTGTGGCTGAGTAATTGGGGCAGCTCGATTCAGCAAGCATCCTGGTAAGGAATGAAGTCACTGTGGCAGGATGCATAGAATATTTCAATGGAAAGTGGCATTGTAATTATGTTTGAGTTTTGTAGCTGAAAGACTGCATATGTTAGTGGCCTATGGACACATCCATGGCATTATAAATAGTATCATAATTACCATGAAAGCAATACTGCATCTGATGAATGTATTTGATTCAGCAGCCACAAGTCTTATGAAGAGTATATTTTAGGTAATGGAACTTGAGCCTTGCTATGTTTAGAATAATAATGATACCAAGTTTTTATCTTTCCTAGTCTAGTCTTTATTAAAAAAATTGTTTTTGTTGATATGAAGACATCCATAATCAAATACATACTAAATAAATATGTTCATTTAACCCAGCAATTATATATGAAATATGGCCAGCATCTCTGGAATCTAAAAAAAATCCTGCTTGGTAAACTTAGTACTGTCTTAGCCTGATTTTTGGAAACAAGTTTTACAAATAAGTAAATTACAAATTTCAGCATCCTGAAATAAATGACCCAGTACCCAAGCCATTAGAGCCATTAAACACAGCTCTGAGATAATTTACCTGTGCTCCTTGTGTCAAAGGAGTAATGTTAGACTGTTATACTTTCAAAGGATTTCTTTCTTTTTGTTTTCTGCTCCTCAACCATAAATAGCAGTTAAAGTGGCTTCTATCTATGGCTTGGATTTAGATTCAACTTTGTAGAAAGCGTTACTTTTCCTATCATTAAATTGTTACGGCTAAGCATTAAAAACATTTCTCACTTTCACAAAAAGTCTTTCCATCAGTGTAGAGCGTACACAATGATCCTAGATGACTTGCATTACTCAGAATTAGTAGTTATTTGAAGTAATTTGTCCACTGAGGCCTTTGGCAAAGGCAACAGCAGTTTGATATTTAAGTAGAATATTATATATAAGAAATAATTACTTATTGTTTTGAAAGATCTTCCTATTCGACCCTGTTAAAGAAAATATGAGAAAAATTCAAAAAGGGGAGATTAAAATTAGTGAATTGACTCCATTTCAAGTCGGAGAGCTTAGAGATCATCGAATCCAACCATCTCATTTTTTTTTAGGTGAAGAAACTGAGCTGCTGAAAGTTAATAAGGCTTGAGTATGATCAGTCAACCAGACGGTGACCTCCTCAGAACCTAGATTTTTAGACTCTAAGACTCGTACCCATTTCTGCACCCTCTTTCTCAATGTCTATTACCCAGCCATGGTGAAGCCTTGATTGAAAAAGAAATGCCTTGTTGTAGCAAATGCAGTTTTACGAATAAGCAGGTTACCTAAGCTCCTGGGGAATGACGACAGGGCTAAATATAAAGAAAAGGAAGAGATACAGTCATTAGAAATTGGTGGGTTTCTTTTCCTATAGCACCCTTGTTTTTTACATGTTTTGAGATGTGAGTGAGCCTTTTGTATCCTGGATGTGGGCCAGACAGGCTGTATGTAAATCACAATTTGAAAATTGACTTATGAATACAATTAGGATCCACTAAAGTTATTCTGTGGTACCTTTCTTTATAAAATTATTCTTTTTGAGTATTAAATACTAAATTTATCTGTTGGTAATTCTATATAGTAATTATATATTAGAGGGTTTTTTAATTAATTAAAAAGTTTTACTTCAATCTGGTGAAAAACTCTATATTCCTCTAAATTTTTCACCTGTCTGTGCTCCCCATTCCCATTTCTCCTTCCTCCTGTTCCCCACCCCGTCTTCAGCTCCTACTCCACCTTCTTTTGGTTTTAGATAAACTTTCATGAGTATCTAGCATTCTAGAAGTGAACTCACAGCCCAGATTTTACAATTTTACTATGAGGGTATTAATTTATTTAATTTTTATAGTCCTGTCTTGGACTGTTCTTTTCTATCTTCTCTCTCCACTTTCTCATTTTATTTTTTAAACTCAACAGAAGAGTTTGAAAGCTGCTGAGTCAGCCGTTGGTCACTTTCCAGCCTGTTGCTCATGAATAATTGACTTTGGCTAGACATACCAAAATTAAATTCTCTGATTGCCTTAGCATTTACAGAATTGCACTGGCATTCTTCTCTACTCTTCATAATGCATTCCCGATAGAATTTTATTGTAATTGCCAGGTGGGAGCAAGGGAGGACTTTTATTTATACTAATTGACTTTACATCAAGATTTCTTTTATTGAATTCACATATCGAATTCCGTTTAATTCAATGTAAAGAGTCCTGCAATAGGAGGCAGCAGATCTAATTCCTGTTTCCTGGTTCATGGTTTCTTTGTAGATACACAGGTTGGAGGAGGTGATTGTTGTAATTTTTAGCTTGTCATAATTTTGTGATTACTGAACTGGCCTTAAGGCCATTTAAGTGGAAGACATTTTATAAGTAGGTGTTGTCTCTCATAGAACTAGCTAGGTAGCAGCCTTTTCTTACTTCAGTTGCTCACCAGTTATTTATATAAGAGTATTTAGAAATCTGTTCCAAATGTTTTACTTCTGCAGCACTTAGTAATTTATCTAAAGATTCTTATAAATGTTTCTCTTGAGCTCATATAGCAATTTAAAAAGCTGTCCTCAGGAAACCAGATATGGTCATCTGCAAGGCCCTATATTTTTACAGTAGGGCCTTCCAGAGTTGTTGGAAATATGAAGAAAATGCTATCATGATAATTTCCGTATATATTAAAGCTTTAGTAATTTTAATTGTGAAAAACAGCTATCCCACAAATTGAAGTGTTAGTAAGACAATTGGATGCATTGTATTAAAGCTGACAGAGCAGTTACTGGAAAAATCTAGTCACTGATCTAAAGCCAACACAACAAATCAGATGACCTTCAAGGCCTTTTAATTACAATTTTTGAATACATTTCTGTTATTAGAAAAATACTTTAGGAAAATAAGACCAGAATTAGTATACAAATCAGAAAAACTAATGGTCAAGTAATCTCTTTGTCAGTGATGTAAAGTTCAACTAAATTAAAATAATAAAATACAGTAAAATTGCCATTTTTGCAAACTTATGAAATATACATTATTCATTTCTACTTTCTATCTAATTTAAGGCCTATTTCATTTCAAACTAATCCAGACCTAGCGTTTGTGTTTCCAGAAGCACCATTTATAGGTTGGCATTTAAGAGGATTTGTTTTGTGACCTAAAAGGGATGCATGCTGCTTGATCACCTCTCTAATTAGATAAGAGAGGCAATAGTGACTGAAGCTTAGAAGAATGGATTTTATAGTACAATCATATTCTGATCCATACAAGGTGACAACAGCCTACTTTTCTGTGTAGTACAAATTGATGATATTAATTTAATTTGAATGCTTATCTATACAAATACACTGATTATATATTATTTTTCAGGAATCCCAAGTTTTTTTTCTTGAAAATGTTAGCCAGAAGTCCAGTGGTAATTTCAGATTCCAGTGTTGATTTAGTAGTGCCCATTTTTAATTAATCAATTTACTTCATAGTTCAATCACAGGTCTTCTGATACATTTTAAATTATAAAATCATGTATACATTCTTGAAATAACTGAAGTCTTAATGAAATATTTGAGTGCAAACAATCAATTGAAAATGATAAATAATACAAAGTAGTACAAATATCTTTAATTTTCAAATATGAGGGTTTTCTGTGTTTCTATAGTGTTGCAATTTTATTAACTTTTGCCCTATGTTCTGTTTCTTTATAACTAAAATATTTAAAAAAATACATTTCTAACTTAATTGACTTATATCCACAGAAGTTCTTAGTGATGCTGAATTTTTGGTATTGATTGAGATTTGCTTTGTGTACATGTTCAGTTTTAAAGCTTATTTTACATATAAGTAGAATATGTGTTCTCTAATTATAGGGTTCATGGTTCTACATATACCCATTGGAACGAACTTTTTAGTTATGTTATTTATGCCTCCTATAATCCACCGCTTCCTTTTGCCGCCTGATCTATCAGTTATAAGAAAAGCATATTGAAATCTCCCATTATTGTTGATCTGTGACAATTGCTCTTTCTAATCTACATTTTACTTTGTATATTCTAGACAATGTTGTTCCTCACATGTGACTTTGGAATTACTATATTTTCAGCTGATTCCTTCTTTATTGTTTTGTAGAAACTTCTTTATTCTCATGTGCCTTTTTTTTGCCTCTCTACATGTGTCTCAATTTCTTTTGTTCATTGTCATTTTCATCTTTTTAGTGTCATTGTATTTTATTTGT